CACCTAGTGAGTCGGGCGACCCAATCCAACCTTCGGACGAGGATGCTGAAAGAATCTGGATGCAGGCTGCTGGGGGTCCAAAATGGGGGAAGGTATACGGGCTTCCTACTAAGAAATTCCATCGCTATAAGTGTGGAATGCAAGGAACAGGGACTTCCTTGCAAGCCGAACAACTTGATGGGGAGAGCCTCTCCTCTATGCGGGAGACTGTGACAAAGCTCACATCCGAGCTAGAAGCCGCCAAGGAGAGAGAAAAGATTAGAGATGCTCAGTACATTGGCATGCAAGAGCAGATCAAATCTCTCCTAGCTTCTGGCAGTTTTCCGATTCCCCGGTCTCGTGACTCATCGCCAGAGACTCTCCTTCCCCGTGCTCATTCCTCCCGTCCTCCCCGTGATTATTCTTCCCATCCTAGACAAGTACACCCTTCTGGATACCGTCTTGGTGATGAAAGTTCATCAGACGGTGATGATAATGATGTACAAAATAATCCTTGACTTTTATACACTTTCAACTAGACAAATACAATCGGTTTTCGAATGAATTTGTAATAAAAATTAACTTAGTTTGGTTAGCTTAATATGTTACTTCTATTGAACTTTATAGTTTGTTAGTTTTAATGGTGTTGTTGTTGTTTATTGTTGTTGTTGTTGGTATAAAATGCCTATTTAGGATTTTTGGTAAGCTGGCAGGTGGTGTAGCTGCCAATACAGGCATTTTCTGCCAAAAATATACCAAGAAAAGCGACCAACTTTGGTCGCTAGTTGGTCGCTTTTTCCTGAAAAAAAATAAATTTCTGGTAAATGGCGACCAACCTTGGTCGCCATTGAACCCAGATTTCTCAAAAAACTACCAAAGTTGGTCGCTATTCCATTTAAAAATAATTACTGGAAAAATAGCGACCAACGTTGGTCGCCTACAATTAAAAAATAATTAATTCTTACATTTTGCGACCAACTTTGGTTGCTTATTTTAAAAAAAAAATTAAAAAAATTAATACTAAAGCGACCAACTTTGGTCTCTAATATCCAGATTTTAAAAAATAATACTTTCTTTTTAGACCAAAGTTAGTCGCTTTTTTTTTTATTAATAATAAATAAAAAAAACGTAATTTACCTGTGGAGACCAACTTTGGTCGCCAAATTTATATTATTAAAATAAGAAGGCGACCAAAGTTAATCGCTTTTTGGCTAATAAGCGACCAACTTTGGTCGCTTTTCCTGGTCGCAAATTAGCGGATTTCTAGTAGTGTAAGCCTATGAGGAACACATTTGTCAATCTACAACTCTAATCCTCGATCTCCGCACTTTTCTATTGTGGGTCATATTCTCGGTATAAGTTGGAGCAATGACATGTCCTGCCTAATTACATCTCCTCAATACTTCTTAGGCTTAATTACCCCTTTCCTTCCTCAAACTTGCAATGGACAACCTCTCGCACCTCCTGATCGTAACATCTATGTCTCTCCTTCTTACATATCCGAACCATCTAACGGGCAACAAATTATACGCAGTAGCAAACATAAAGTGCAATTGAACCTAATAACAACTTGATTTTTGACTCATTACAAGGTTGAAACTTTTTTCTTCAAACGTGAGAAAACTGAACAACTAGTAAAACAGTACAAACTTTATACATGTACCAATCACTTTAATTTGCCGCATGATTTAGCTGACTATAGAATTTTTTGTCTTCAAAGACTTTCATATCATGGTACATAGCACCAAATTTTTGCCTATAAATGCATGTAAATCTAAACGAATAAATCATCAAATTCTACTGCCAAACTTTGAATTACCCATACCATTTAAAACCCTACTTCTTTTTTCTTGATTTACTCTTAAACTACAAAATGCCTACTACATTGTCCTCAAATTTTTCCAACAATATTAAAGAATTTGTAGTAAATGAAGGCAATGGAGTAAAGGGTTTATCAGAATTAGGACTTAAAACCCTACCAAAACAATATATTCAACCACTCGAAGAACGAATTACTACGAGCACAATAATCGTCGATGATTCTATCCCGATCATCGATATGTCCAATTGGGACGAAAATAATACTAAAGTTTGTGAAAAAATATGTAATGCAGCTGAAAAATGGGGATTTTTTCAGATTATTAATCATGGAATTCCCCTTGAAGTTCTTGATGCTGTTAAGGATGCAACTTATAGGTTTTTCAGACAGTCTGCAGAGAAGAAGAATAAGCATTCTAAGGAAAATTCAACAACAAATAACGTAAGATATGGAACAAGTTTTACACCTCAAGCTGAAAAAGCTTTGGAATGGAAAGATTATCTTAGTCTTTTCTATGTTTCTGATGATGAAGCTGCTGCCCTTTGGCCTTCTGCATGCAGGTTCGTATAATTTAACGTAGCGTTTAAATTATAGTATGTATTAATAGCGTAAAAAAATATTTATACAATTACCAGTGGCGAAGCCAAAAATATTTCCAAGGGTTTTCAAATTTGAAAGAAGTAAAAAAAATTCCCGACAAAGGGTGTTTAATATATGTTATATACTTTTAAAACTAATATTTATCTATATACACAATTAATTTTTTCCGACGAAGAATGGTCAATTGACTATCCTTACTAGAGTGTAGCTTCGCCCCTGCAATTAGCTAGTCATTTGTAAGGTATTTGTATGTAAATTGATACATATGTGATAATATAACTCTAATACCACTACCTTTATTCTATTTTATGTGATAATTTTTCATTTTAATTACTCCATTCCAGAAAAAATTTACCTTAGTATTTAGAAACAACTTATTTTAAATTTCCCATTTTATTCTTAATGACTTGATTATACTGTCATGACATGTATAAGACCACGAGTAATTCCAAAAATCTTTCCTCTTTTTTGTTTTAAATTTATTCGGTGGAAAAAGAAGTAAAAACAGCATTAAGGTTTTTCATATCGGACTATACAAAAATTTGTTTTCTCTTTGTTCAGGACTGCTTACAGTAAGTCAGTAGTTTGACTTGGACAAGTTGACAAGACTAACTGTACAAGTCATATTATGCATCATTTATTTGCATTAGAAAATTATCTTCTGCTTCACCTCGGGTCAATAAAGTACTCGTAGAATAAAAGAAAGATATTTTTTTTTTTAAAACCGTTCATGCATATTTATATATCTATCAATCATCTTATTAAGAGAATAACAGAAAATTTATTATTAAATTATTTATATAAAAATATACCTTACGTTGACTAAATAGTGTATTGTTCTTGCAGGGATGAATCACTAGAATTCTTGAGAAATTCTGATATTGTAATCAAGAAACTTTTGAAGGCACTTATGAAAGGACTAAACATAAATCAGATAGACCAAACTAAAGAATCACTTTTAATGGGTTCAAAAAGGATTAATCTTAATTACTATCCTAAATGTCCTAATCCTGAATTAACAGTGGGAGTAGGTCGTCATTCTGATGTTTCAACATTAACCATTCTTCTTCAAGATAATATTGGAGGACTTTACGTAAAAAAATTGGACAGTAATTCTTGGGTTCATGTCCCACCAATTGATGGAGCAATTGTGATTAATATTGGTGATGCACTTCAACTTATGAGTAATGGAAAATACAAGAGTATTGAGCATCGAGTTATGGCTAATGGATGCAATAATAGGATTTCAGTGCCTATTTTTGTAAATCCTAAACCTAATGATTTGATTGGTCCTTTGCCTGAAGTGATTAAGAATGGAGAGAAGGCAATTTACAAGCAAGTTTTATATTCAGATTATGTCAAGCATTTCTTTAGAAAAGCTCATAATGGAAAAGAAACTGTTGATTTTGCTAAGATTAATTAAAAAAAAGATGGTTGTGTTGGAAAAATAACTAATATTTTTTATACTAATTAAGGTAATGTTTTTCCTAATTCATTTGTTTTCATGTAATGTGAAACGTTATTTTGTTTGTAATAAAAGTTTGATATGTATTGTATTATCACTAAATAAATATTTAATGTTTTTTTTTCAATTACGTTTCTCGTAATTCACTTGCAGCTATTGTGGACTTTTGTTATGTTTCTCATAACAATGATTACTAAAATGGAAAAACAATTTAAGAGAGAAAGTTTGATATTAATCCAGTCTAATTTTGAATTCCTCAAAATGTTAGTTCTCCATTCCCCACCACTTAAACAAGAATCAAATTCGCACAACTTCGAACTTCTAGTTTTTAGTTTAACAACTTACATTCATTTTATTACCTTAGTTCGGTCCACACATGTAATTAGTGTTTAAGTAATTTCAAGCTTATAAAATTGTGAAGTAAAATAGTATATCATTATTTTACCAATATTACTTAAAATTAGTCTAACATGCCTAGAATACCTATTTAGATTTTATAAATAATTATTTAGGATGAAACACATCCCCCACGTTCCTATAGTAAACATGCTAAAGGCCCGGGATGTGTTGTGGATTGGGTTTGGAAAAATGACATTGTATAGCCGCTACTAAAATATTAGTCAAAAAAATACATATTTTTGTATATATATAACAACAGCGATCCAGTGAAATCTTACTAGTGGGATTTGGGGAGGGTAGTATGTACGCAGACATTACCCTACCCCGAAGGGATAGAGAGGCTGTTTCCGAAAGACCCTCGGCTCAAGAGGACAAAAAGACAAAAGGAGACTATTAGTATCACACATAAATCATATGAAAAATAGGAACAACATGGAATCGAGAACACAGATGCAAAGCAAAAGCGATATCTAGTAAATAGGTCAGCCACTGAAAAGCAAAATAGTAAGACACGATATTGCCACTAGCTATCTTAGACAAAACCCTACCAGATTAGTCTCACAACGGTACGAAACAAGGCAAGACTCAACTACCTCATAACCTACAACTCTAATACTCGACCTCCACATCTTCCTATCAAGTGCCAGGTCCTCGGAAATCTAAAGCATCGCCATGTCCTGCCTGATCACCTCTCCTCAATACTTCTTCGGTCGCCCTCTACCTCTTCTCATGCCATCCACAACCAGCCGCTCACACATCCTTACCAGGGCAACTGGGCTCCTCCTCTGTACATGCTCGAACCATTTAACCATCGCTTCCCGCAGCTTGTCATCATTGGGAGTCACGCACACCTTCTCCCGAATATCATCATTCTTAATCTCATCCATCCTAGTGTGTCCGCACATCTACCTCAACATCCTCATTTCTGCTACTTTCATCTTCTAGATATGTGAGTTCTTGATAGGCCAACACTCAGCTCCGTACATCATGGTCGGTCTAACCACCGCTTTATAGAATTTATCTTTGAGTATCGATGACACTCTCTTGTCACACAGGACTCCAAATGCTAACATGCACTTCATCTATCCTACCCCAATACGGTATGCGATATCCTCGTCGATCTCCCCTCCCTATTGGATAACCGACCCAAGGTACTTGAAGTTGTCTCTAGTTGGGATGACCTGTGAGTCAAGCCTCACATCCACGCCCACTTCCCTCGGTTCAGTGCTGAACTTACACTCCAGGTATTCCATCTTCGTCCTGCTCAGCTTGAAAACCTTAGACTCAAGAGCTTGTCTCCAAACCTCTAGCCTCTCGTTAACACCGACTCGCAACTCATCAATCAGAACTATGTCATCGGTGAATAACATGCACCATGGCACCTCCCCTTGAATATGGTATGTTAACGCGTCCATCACTATGGAGAATAAAAATGGATTGAGCGCAGAGCCTTGGTGTAACCCCATAACAACCGGAAAACAGATGGAGTAGTTGTTATGCTAACGTCCTCTAATGCCATAAGAATTGATGGATTCGTCGCTTTTGATATATATATTTTTGGTAGAAATAAAGTATCGTTGATTAAAGTTTTTAAAGCGGTTTATAAAGATGGTAGATTCGAATTAAAACTGCCAATTGTCTTAAATTTTAGGATTGTTTAGATATTAGATCTGATACTTAGGTTCTTTCATGGCGTCTTAGTAAACAAAACACTAGTAGAGTCTTGGTTATGATCACAAGTATTAAAATACAGTTAGACCTTTCTATAAGAGTCATCATTAATAACAACACTTTATTATAACGGTCAAGTTATTATTGGAACCAATTTATTATGTTATGTTATAGTACTATTTGTTTTCTATAACAACATTTCACTACAGCGACAAAAAAATATCGGAACAGACGGACGCTTATTGAGAAGTTTGACCGTATATATTAATCACTCTCCAATAATATATTTCTATAATTTCTTATATTTGGTGAAAAGAATGAGACCTTCTAGAGCTCTGTAATCACTTTTTTACTAGAGCAATCTCTATCATTTTTTCAAACCTCTTTTTTATTTTTATATGCCGTAGTTTATGGGAAAGAAAAAAAAAGAAGCAGACAGCAGTGGATTTTCACATAAATTTTATGGGTCTAGTACATTGAATGGAATGGTCATAAATTGACTGAACTTGAGGGAGAAGTGGTAGAATTCTGTTAAAAATCAAACACTCTATTACCAAGAACCTAACAAATGTAGTGAATAAAATTACGAGAACTACGACTCTAATAAAATCAAGACTCTAGACTCTTGGACTCGCGGGGAATCAATTTCGCATTCTAATTAATAAGAACTTAAGAAAAATTTATAGATTGGAAATAGGAAAAAATTGAAAGGAAAAAAAAAACAAAGTCCAAGATAGTTGGGCAGCCAGCCTGGCATTCTTTTAAATTCTCTAATATAAACTGATGAAATAGTGTAAGACATCAAATTATAATTGTACACTTTATAAAATTTACCTTTGAGTATCGGTGGCACTCTCTTGTCACACAGGACTCCAAATGCTAACCCGCACTTCATCTATCCTACCTCAATACGGTATGTGACATCCTCGTCGATCTCCCTTCCCTATTGGATAACTGACCCAAGGTACTTGAAGTTGCCTCTACTTGGGATGACCTGTGAGTCAAGCCTCACATCCACGCCCACTTCCCCCCGCTCAGTGCTGAACTTATACTCCAGGTATTCCATCTTCGTCCTGCTCAGCTTGAAAACTTTAGACTCAAGAGTCTGTCTCCAAACCTCAAGCCTCTCGTTAACACACTCGCGACTCATCAATCAGAACAATGTCATCGGCGAATAGCATGCACCATGGCACCTCTCCTTGAATATGGTGTGTTAACGCGTCCATCACTAGGGAGAATAAGAATGAACTAAGCACAGAGCCTTGGTGTAACCCCATAACAATCGAAAAATGCTCAGAGTCGCCTCCTACTATCCTTACCCGAGTCTTAGCCCCATCATAAATATCCTTAATCGCCATAATGTAGGGAACCGACACACCTTTTGCCTCCAAGCATCTTTAGAGAACTTCTCTAAGAACCTTCGTCATATGGTTTCTCTAGGTCAATAAATACCATGTGCAGGTCCTTCTTCCTATCTCTGTACTGTTCTACCAACCGCCTAACAAGGTGTATAGCTTCCGTAGTAGAACGACCTGACATGAATCCAAACTAGTTGTCAGATACAGACAGGGACATCCTCACCCTCGCTTCAACCACCTTCTCCTACACTTTCATGGTATGACTCAGTAATTTGATACCCTTATAATTGTTACAACTTTAGATATCATATTTGTTCTTATACAATGGAACCACCGTACTCCACCTCCACTCATCCGGCATCCTCTTCGCTTTAAAAATAATATTGAACAACCCAGTTAACCACTCCAAGCCTGCTCTCCAAACACACTTCCAAAATTCCGCTGGAATCTTGTCAGGCACGATCGCTCTGCCCCTACTCATCTTACTCATAGCTCTCACAGCCTCCTCAACCTTGATGCGCCTGCAGTACCCAAAGTCACAGTGACTCTCGGAATGCTCCAATTCACCTAGTACGATATCACAATCCCCTTCTTCATTCAAAAGTTTATAAAAATAAGTCTGTCATCTCTTCTTAATCTGGGAATCTTCCATCAATACTCTACCATCGTTGTCCTTGATGCATCTCACTCGATCCAAATCCTGAGCCTTCCTCTCTCTCAACTTGGCCAGCCAGAATAACTTTTTCTCCCCACCCTTTTCCCCCAGTTCCTCGTACATATGACTATAAGCCGCAGTCTTTGCCTCCATGACCGCCAGCTTAGCTTCCTTCCTAACTACCTTATACCTCTCCATGCACGCTCGCCTCTTCTCCTCACCTATGCTCTCCACTAACTTCAGGTACGCCTCCTTCTTCGTTTCCACTTTACCTTGGACCACTTCATTCCACCACCAGTCTTATTTGTGCCCGTAGAGACGCCCGTCGAGACCCCTAACACCTCTCTCGCAGCCTTCCTTATACAGTCTTCTGTTGTTGACCACATAGTGCTCGCGTCACCACTGCTCCTCCAAGCTCCCATAGCCGATAGCCTCTCCTCAAATTCTTGGGCTTTATCCTTAGTTAAGTACTCTCCACCTGATTCTCGGTCTTCCTCGAGCAGACTTTTTCCTCTTCTTTAACATAATACCAACGTCCATCACCAAGCGTCTATGCTGTGTCGCGAGTATCTCACCTGGAATCACCTTGTAATATTTGCACAACCATATGTCACACCTCCTAAGGAAGAGATAGTCAATTGGAGTCTTCGTTACCGCATTTTGAAAAGTAACCAAATGCTCCTCCCTCTTTGGAAAGGTAGAGTTCGTAATCACCAACTCAAAAGCCTTAGCGAAGTACAACAACGAGGTACCTCCTCCGTTCCTTTCCCCAAAACCGAAGCCTCCATGCACCTCGATATAATCGCCTGCGGTCGACCCAATATGACCATTGAAATCCCCTCTTATGAATAGCTTATCAGCAGGCTGAACCTGAC